TTCTGTGTGTATTTTTATGTGTGATGTCTTTATCTATGTTGGTAAATAGACTTCAGTGAACAGGGTTTACAAAGGGGTTATATATATAATTTAAAAATGACCTGTTTTTAATTGCAGACTGGGATTTCTAATCAATTTAAAGGTTTTTAAGCATACCTGAGACCAGAAGTTTTGGTCTAGGCTGACTGATAAATCTGCTTCCCACTTTGCAATAAGAAGGGATATTGATTCATCTATTTTAGAAAGTGTTCTGTATATTTTAGACAATAATTTGGGGGATTTAAGAGTAAGAAAATGTACCGCACTTGGTGGTAATTCAACTTGACTGAGGTTAAATTTCTTTTTTACTATGGATTTAATTTGTTGATATTCTAAAAACCTTGTCTTGTTGATCCCATATTGTTCAACTAGTCTGTCAAATGGAATAAATTCTGTTCCCTCTAATATATGTTCTAAGTATTTAATTCCTTTACAACTCCATTCTGGGAAATTAATCATATTATTGTTTTGTAATATGTCAGGGTTATTCCAGATAGGTGTACGTTTGCATGGGATTAATGAAGACTCCGTTATTTTTAGAAACTCCCACCATGCTTTAGAGAAAAGCTGATGTTGATACTTTTAAAGCATTCATGTCTTTTGATGTTTGAGCTAATAAATGGTAGGTCTGAAATCTCTAGATCCTTGCATAGTGCCTGTTCAACATCTAGCCAGGGCTCAACTAAGAAGGTATGTTTTAACCATTCTGAGATGAACTGAAGCCTGTTGGCTAAGAAGTATTGGTGAAAATTAGGCAGATCTAATCCTCCTCTATCCTTGGTTCTTTGTAGCGTTTTTAAGCTAATACGCGGGGGTTTATCTTTCCAAAGGAATTTGGAAATATATGAATCCAGAGATCTGAACCAATCTTGTGATGGTTTGTTAGGGATCATCAAAAATAAGTAATTTATTTTTGGCAAGATCATCATTTTTATAGTGGCGACCCTTCCCATGAGTGATATGGGTAAAGATTTCCATCTAGTCAGATCGCCTTCTACTTTCTTTAGAAGTGGGATGTGGTTTAATTTAGTTAAGTCTGAAAGCTTAGGAGAGACATTAATACCTAAATATTTAATATTTCCGGATTGCAGTGGGGCAGAGGAAGAATTATGGAAGGAGCAGTTAATGGGGAGAACTGGAACTCTAGATTTTGACCAATGAATTGAATAATCTGAAACTCTTGAAAACCTGTTTATTAGTGTAATTACCTCAGAAAGGTTGGTTTGTGAGTTTTGGAGAAAAAGCAATACATCATCCGCATAGAGACTGATTTTATGTTCTACGTTCTTACATTTTATGCCCTTAATTGTTGTAGCCTGTCTAAATGCTGCTGCTAGTGGTTTGATAAAAATTGCAAACAGTGAAGGGGAGAGTGGGCATCCCTGTCTGGTGCCCCTCAGGAGACAGAAGCTGGAGGATGTCTGGTCATTTTTTCTGACACAAGCTGTTGGGGAATTATAAAATATTCTTATCCAGTTTATGAAAGAGTTTCCAAAACCAAATTTGTGTAAAGTTGCAATTAAAAATTTCCAGTTAACTCTGTCAAATGCTTTTTCTGCATCTACAGATAATATTGTGGTTTTAGTGTTTTTACTGCATGAGTAGTGTATTAAATTAAGTAATCTACGTGTATTTGTTGATGAGTGCCTGCCTTTTATGAAACCAGTTTGGTCAGGATGAATTAAAAGGGGGTTATCTTCTCTAATCTTTTTGAGAGAGCTTTGCAGATTATTTTGAGGTCTACATTTATAAGGGATATTGGACAATAGCTTGAGGGAAATAAAGGGTCTTTGTCTGGTTTTAGCAGGAGACTAATGTTGGCAGAATACATATTTGGTGGTAGTCTGCCATTTTTCTTGATTTCCTGCAACATTCTGTGGAATATACTGGTGCCAAAATTGTCCAGAATTCTTTGTAGAATTCTGCAGGATAGCCATCTGGACCTGGAGCCTTATTATTGGGCATACTTAGCGCTTCCTGGAGTTCACCTGGTGTCAGTGGCGAATCCAGTGCCATTGCTTGACTGTCTAGTAATTTTGGAAGAGTAGACAAAGAGTAGACAGTAGCGAAATAAAAACAACAAAACAACTCTTAGTAATTGCATATTTATTAAAGTGTGTTCTTAAGAGTTATCTTCTTGATAACACAAGTTATCCCATGTCTTCTGGCCTGCAAGGAGGTGACTTTCCCTTGCAGGCCCATCTTCTCCAGAATTGTCCTGATCACACACAACAAATAGGAGAAGAGTGGAAACCATGGCAACTATGTTAATCCCTAAATCCAAAGGTTTGCACAGGATAACATAAGACAAATACCATCTGGACATCACAGGTTCTGTACAGCAGCGGTCCCCAAGTCGTTTGGTATCGGGCCGTGAGAGTTGAGGCTCGGTTGTGAAATTGATGGTTTTCAGGGTTTTTATTGTTAATTTGGTTTCCCTGGGTCTTTTCCCGTGTTGTAGTTGTGTCTCTTATTTCGAAGAGAGCATTAAAGGGCAGAGAGGAAGATGTTACTCTCAATGTTGTTCGTGCATTTTCAGGAGGATGCTGCTAATAAAGTTGCGCAATTACACAGTGAATTCACATTTATTGTTATATTTACAAAATACCACAGTTTTTGTCTTGGTCCTATCATTTTATTTCGTTGTTTTTTTCCACGACACTTTAAAGGCCGCTCCGTGTCTGACATTAAACCGGTCCATGGCACAAAAATGGTTGGGGACCGCTGCTATATAGCATGAGGGTTAATAAAACCGTACTCATATGAATATGATGTGTAAATTGATTTATTCTTGTACCTCCATGCCACAGTGGCTGAATTCTTCACCCCAGTGCAGAGGTGATCATTTTCTCCTTGTTTTAATAAATTGAGCCCTTTGGTCTTTGTTCCCTACAACATATCACAAAAAGGTTAATTTGCGAAAATCAAAATTGGCTGTATGGAAGCGGTAATATAGGATAAACTGTGGGACCCACCTCACAAGCTAGTTTACGATTATTTTAATTAAAAAAAACAAAACACGTCTATGCAGATGCCCACTGCTTAACAATACAACCACTATAACAATTTAACTTTTGTACCACCAGATGCTTCATTTTAAATCATGCTTTTTATTGGTTTTTGTTTTTTAATGTCTCTGTAAAGCACTTTGAATCACCTTGTTGTTGAATTGTGCTATATAAATAAACTTGCCTTGCCTTGAATTTGGACACAGCCTGTGGCTGTATCTCAATTCAGGGTCTGCAGCCTTAAAGTACGCAGCCTCAATGATCCTCAAGGGCCGCGTACTTAAAGACCGCTAAGGCCGGAAGTGCGAGGCTTGTGAAATGGGACGGTCTAGCCTCCGTTGCGCTGCCCAGGTTGCCTAGCAACCATGATACTAACAGCTGGAAACGTTTCATACAGCTTTGTTTGACAGAAATGAAGGAGAAAATCTTTTGTTCATTTGTTTGTTTGTTTCTACATGAGCTTTGATCATTCTCTGTAAGATTAAGGTCAGCTATTGAACGGCGTATATTTTAAAGTAAAGGCTTTAAAACCAAGTTAGTACAAACGTCACTAATGTCACATAACTTTGCCGACATGTGGCCAACAGTAATGTTTAATGTTCTTCGTTATTAAACATTTGCACATAAATAAGTGACATAATATTCAGTACTTAAAGTTCACTCTTCGGGCGCCCCACATCCGCCGTTTTTTTCGGCAAAATTATCCACACCCACCGCTGCGCTATGCATTCTGGGATATGTTGGGCTATGAAGTCTACACCGCCACGTCCTTAAAATTGAGGGAAATGAAGGACGCATTTGAGGGCCGCATTTCGAGCAGCCTTCGAATTGGGACAGCCTTCGTTGCGTCGCGGTGACATAATCGGCCTTAAAATGCAGCCTTTAAGGCTGCAGACCCTGAATTAGGATACAGCCACGTCTCTAGCCTTGTCTCCCCTTAGTCTCGTCAAGTGTGATAAGTCCCAGCTGTGCTCTCCTCCTGTGTCTCATTCCCTTGTTATCCCTCAGTGTATTTTAGCCCTGTGTTTCTCTCTGTCAGTGTTGTGTCGCCCCCTCATGCTGTGTGTGTGTTTCCCTCTGTGCTCCTAGTCTCTTGTCTCCAGGTTTCTTAGAGTTTAGTTTTAGTTTCTACTTTTAGCTTGTTTTTTGCAAGTTTATTGTTTTTGGAGTTTTGTCCTATAACTGCAATAAAGCAGCCTCTTAGAGTTTACTCCTCTGTCTGAGTGTCCTGCATTTTGGGTCTTACATCTTGCCTGCCCCAGCTGTTTCATGACAATTACCCTATGCTTGTAATTATCAGTAATAGCTGCTCTCCGGAACAGATGTGAATCATGTTTGGCTATGCTTATGTTATGTACGGCCCAAAATGGCTTAAGTACCAGAACGTGGTAAGCTCTAATATCGACCAGTAAGGGACCACCACACTCACACTGCAATGGGGTAAACAAGATTTATTTTTTCCCTCAGAGTCAAACTACTGGCTGAAGACACAACTCTGGCCGCAACTGTTGCAACTCCGCAACACTTAAATCACAATCTGAGTCCCTGTATCTTTCTAACACAACTGATGAATCACTCAGATGATGAAAACCTATCCTAGCTTCATGTCGATATCTACTCAGATGACTACATGACAAACTATTCTGTATTTTTATTGTTAGTGTTTTCTTTAGGGAAAAAACTGTACACCACAAATTTATGTTGAGTTTTTGAGTTTGTATCTATCATAGTTGGAGAGTTCACTTACATGTATTTATAAAGTGAAGTTTTAACTTTAATTAATATTTTACTTTTACTATTTCAACCAAAGAGTTTCAAGGTTATTTATCTACACTGTTTGCTCAGTTGTCCTTAGCAAAATTCACAGTAACTTTCCCTCCCTTCTTCTTGTGAAACATCACTCATCATGATGAGGCAAGACAGGATATATAAAGACTCATGGTCGACAATCATTGCACAGGACCTAATCATATGTTTAGGTCCTGTGCAAGTAGCTCATATAAAAATATAAGACATAGGAATGGGAATACTAACAATGAGGATAACTTCTACAGCTTTTGTACTTCTCATCCAAACATTTGTCTGTTTGGCTTCAAATGGTACCGTAATCCAACTATTAATTTTATTTTTTTTCCTAAGCCTTTTACAGAGTATCATGCATAATTAATGTCCTGCCTATCTGTACTATATGTAAGATTGTTATGTCCTTTATTTCTCTATAATCCTGTATAACCTATTCTTTATTTTTTACATCTCCAACAGTACTGTTTTTCAATATTTTTTTCTCTACAGATTCCCAATTTCAACTAATTAACAGGGCCACTGGTTTTTGTTTGGTAAAATTAAATAACCACTGCAATGACATTCGCTGGACATCTGGGGATCGACTTTTGGTTCAGAATAAGAACAAGTGCCTGGGTGTTCAGGGAAAAACTGTGGGCAGTGAAGTAAACCTGTATGATTGTGATGAAACCAGTGAGCTCCAAAAGTGGGAATGCAAGAATGAAACTGTGATCGCTCTCAAAGGCCAAGAACTTTACATTGACCTCACTGCCGATAACACAGCCGTGCTCTCAAATAAAGTTGTGCCCAGTAGCCACCTTACAATTTCTGGGACTTCCAGCGGTGCTTGCACAAGAACATATACAGGTAAGTGAAATAAATAAAAATACATTGTAAAGTAATTCATGATAACTTTTATGGAAATAATATTAGTGGCATAATAAATTTATTGATTTTCATATTTAGTTCCAAAACAGTTGTAATGCAAAGATAGTGTGTCAAATGATTACAAGATGTTGATAAATGATAAAGTATCATTTTGCTTAAACTATTCAAGCTATTCTTTGTTCTTTTCTTATATGTTTTCCTTATTTTGGTCCTTCAGAACTTTACACCATTGAAGGAAATGCAGCTGGGAGGCCGTGCATGTTTCCTTTCTTTTACAAAAGCAATTGGTATTCGGAGTGCACTGCATTTGACTCTCCAGGGAACCGTAAATGGTGTGCAGTTGAAACAAAATATGATCATGAACTCTGGGGTTACTGCCCAACTAACTGTAAGTACACAACAAATTCTAATACAGGTTTTCAGAGTAATAAGCAGAACCTGGACATCCAAATTTAAATGTTGAGGAACGCCATCTTGAGGTACAAGTTCAGTGTAACACTATAATACCTTAACTGTGTTTGTGTCACAGCCAAAGAAACTTGGAACAAAGACCCTACAACAGGAGCATCTTATCAGCTGAACACACAGTCAGCGCTGACCTGGGATCAGGCTGATGCCAGCTGCAAACAGCAGAGTGCCTCCCTGCTCAGTATCAGCAATCCTCATGAGCAGGCTTATATTTCAGGTAAGGAGACAAGTCTCCACACTACACTGAATATATTGAAAACAAAACATTTCATTTAAGCTGAGGTTTGACAAATAGCTAAAACTTGAAACATTAAAGTTACTGTGTTAGGGCTATGCAATGTGACCAAAATTTTGTACTCCGATTTAAGACATTTATCGTCACAACAACGAAATATATATATATCACAAAAATTTTAAATTTTATGTAAATTCTGTGAATCTCGGGACACTCAACTTGCTTGAAGTGTTTTCAGGTGGGCGTCGTGTACCTGGGGTCAAGTGTTAGGTTTAGACTAGAGATGGACCGATCCGATATTACGTATCGGTATCGGTCCGATACTGACCTAAATGACTGGATCGGATATCGGAGAAAAATAAAAAATGTAATCCGATCCATTAAATATCACGAAAGCACCTCACAAAACTTGCAACACGCCGTAACTCACCTCAGAACGTTAGCACGTCGGAGCAGTATGCATCACGTGATAGAGCGGCTGTGGCATGCGGGACCTGTCGGTGGTCTGGATAGCATGTGGAGCTTCGCTAGCAACCCGGCATTTCATCTCCGACAAAGTTATCCCCGAGAGAAGTAAAGCAAGTGTGTAAGTCCATCTCTGAATGTTTGTAAAGCATTCCTGCGTTAAGCTTAACGAGCGACTGCCTCTCCTCTGCTGCTACTTCAATCATGAAACTGCTTAACGATCAGCTGATCGGCTTTTCTGTCGCGAGTCCGTCTCTCTTGTTTGTTTTTGGCCCACTTTGCACCAGAAAGAGGAAACCAGCGGCTGAACAACAGCAGCACGTTTAAGCTTGATAAGCTGTTGTTAGAATTTATTTAATATTACTTTCTACACCAGGATCTTTTTCTACGTAGCTGACGGCTGGTAACTGTGCAGGGGCGGATCTAGCAAAGTTTAGCCAGGGGGGCCGATTGTGCCCCCTTTTCACTGTTCATGCCCTAAGACATACTTTTCTTTCTTATTCTCATTTAAAATGTCGAGCTTTTAATAAATAATTATCTGACACCCAAAGTTTTAATTTGATGCAAAATGAATAGAAGTCAATTACTGTATATAGTGACTATTAAGTCTAATATATATACCCTAGTAAGCTATAGTACTTTTTACTTTGGGAAGGTACCATCTGTGCAGTCTGCAATTTTGTTGAAGAAAGATGTTGAATCTATTTAATATTTCTTGAAAAATAATTGATTTCTGTGCATTTTTTTTCACACTGCATCAAATTAAGGTTGATTACGTCGATTAAGCATCATGAGGTGGAGCGTGAGGGGTGGTTCCCTATTTTTTATTTATTTATTTTTGTTGTTGCTGGGAGTTGGAACCCTATTAGTTAGGTTGCTTAATATTTACGCTAAGTACTCTTTAAAATACCAGATTAGGGAGGATGGTGTAGGTCTAAGTTTATTAGATTGATCAGTATTGCTGAACTATGAAATATTTTTTTTGTATACAGGTATAACAGAATAGCTTTAGTGTAGTTGTTGTTTTAAACTTGAGTATGAACTTGAGACTTGCAAAATGCAGCAAGATATTTAAAAAACAGTTTTGTTGATTAAAAAACACTATATCGGATTCATATCGGTATCGGCAGATATCCAAATTTATGATATCGGTATCGGACATAAAAAAGTGGTATCGTGCCATCTCTAGTAATATGTCTTATGTGCATGGGTATTTTTTACTTCTCATCCGTAAATAATCTGCTCTTTCACGTGATTCAGTTTATTTTGAAAAGTCTCAACAGGATCTTGAGCTTTATTGTGAAAGGTTTATGTGGAACATAAACAAGCAGACACGCGATGGTGTTACCGTCGTTGTTGCTAACCACAACGCATAAAAACAGGCGCTTGTCCGTCTGTAGTGTGGTTATATTAAATATAAGAGAAAGAGAGAACTTTAAGAAATTAATATAGCCACTACAGTGACCATCAAAAGGATGAAAAAATATTGCCGTAAACAGTTTATTTTGCGAACCAAACAAATGATAACGTAATATGTGGTCTGTAGACTGTAGACAGGGGTGGCCAACTCCAGGCCTCGAGGCCGGTGCCCTGCAGGTTTTAGATCTAACCATGTGTCAGCACACCTGAATCAAATGATTAGTTCATTATCAGGCCTCTGGAGAACTTCAAGACATGATGAGGAAGTCATTTATCCATTTGAATCAACTGTGTTGGATCAAGGACCCATCTAAAACCTGCAGGACACCGGCTCTCGAGGCCTGGAGTTGGCCACCCCCGCTGTAGACACTGCTCCAGCTGATGATTATGTTTTGAGTATTACACTTGGTAACTTTTGTTTTCTCTGTCTCTTTTGTCTGTTAAACTCTACTGACAGCACTATTAGGGACAAATTGGGGACAGGAGTACAAGCTCTGGGTTGGACTGAGCTTCCAGGATTTAGATTATGTGTGGAAGTGGTCTAATGGGAATCCTTATGCATATCTGAATTGGGATTCAGGTAAGTTTACTTTCAAGTTTCAGGAGCTTGTGTTACCATTCTGATGATAATTTATCTTACTATTGTTAAATTATCTCATCAATTCATCTTGATCATGTTTGCCATCTGTTTTATTTATATAAGAAATCTTGTCTGTTAGCAATTAAATTTTTTTTTTCCCTATTTCTTATAAATTTCTTCCACATGGGTGTGCTAGCCACACTGTAACCTTTTACTGGTCAGCAATTTCAACCACTGCTAAATTATTGGCGTTGTGTATCACATAGCCTTGTCACTCTTGGGTAGAAATCATAGGCCTTTACTTCTTTTCCACTAAAACTAAAATGCTCATACACAATACACACCGTGCTTCTAAATATCTTGAGAATTCTGTGAATTGAAAGTTGCCGAGTCTCATCTCATAAGTGACAAGTATCATTTACCATCACTGCTCTGTAGGACATCCAGTTTCTAATCCAGGATATAAGTGTGGAATTATTGATGGCGCTGTTCAGTTTTCTTGGCAAAGTTCAAAATGCAACAAGAAACTGGGATACATCTGCTACAGTGAAGGACCTTTGGATGCACCTACTGAAGGTATAGAAAAAAATCCCTTCTCTACCCTTCTCTTAAAAAACTTGATTGACTCTATTTCTTTGATCTTCTTTTGTTCTTCTTATGCTTCATAGCTCCCGAGAGTGGATTTTGTACAGCACCCTGGATCCCCTACAATGGCCACTGCTTTTACCTTTATCGTAATGAAACAAAAAAATGGTCCGATGCTCAGAAAGCTTGCCGTAAAGAAGGAGGAGACCTAGTAACCATTCGTAATGTGGAGGACCAAAGCTTCATCATCTCTCAACTTGGATATGGTATGGCAATAAAAACTTCTGAGCACCATTTGCATTCCTTTAACATAACCTTCACCCAACACTTTTCATATTTATGCAATTTTTATGCAATTGCTGGTGAGTAACTGAAATATTTTTGAGGCACGATCTAATATGATTGTGTTGGTATGTTCCTGGATCAACAAAAGTAATGTTTGTCCAGGTTTAGCGTTGCATGTTATCAATCACATTGCAGTGATGTCATAGTGTTGCGATGTGGAAACACCATCACATCGCACACCAAACTCTAATCCTAACCCCATTACCCAAACCACGATCACATACTGATGCCCAACTCTAATCCTAACCACTCCCTTTTCTTTTCCAAGTTGAAAAGCTATGACATCATAACAATGTGATTGGTCAGTTGCAATTTCAGTCCTGGACCAGTATTATTATGTTGATCCAGAAACAACACCAACATAAGTTATTGCTAAAGTTCCAGGAATTTTTCAGCTTGTGTTTAAGTCATAAGAAGTTGCCTCTCCTTAATTTTCCAAATGTCTAAGTTGGGTTGAACATCACACTCAAAAGTTAAAGACACACCAAACCCAGATATTAATGAACATCTTATAGCTACACACTTCATAAGAATGTGAGCAATCTTTTCCTAGGAAAGGGGTCTACTGCTGTAGTTTCAATGTACAACTCTCCTCCAACTTAAGAAAATGCAGTTCTCTGACAACAGGTAATAGTCATTTCTCAGCCAACAGGTAGACTTCCTCTTTATAATAATGACCATTTGTCACTTTGGGAATCCGCTATTTTGGAAACTAGGTTTTGGATTTTGTCACTTCATAAGCATTCAGTCACTTTCTGTTGACTGATCCCTGTATCGCTGCACATCTCACATATAATGAAGTTTGTTTACAAGTCCAGCAATTCTGGCAGACGATTAGCAGCAGTCTAAAACTTAAGTGCAAAAGTAACATCTAAAGAGTAGCAAATGAGCAGAATTTATCAAGAAGATTATACAACAATTAATGTTATTTTCTGTCTGCAGCATCCACTGATGAACTCTGGATTGGACTAAACGATAGGAACAGAGAGAGGCTGTTTGTCTGGAGTGATCATTCTCCTGTGAGTTACACTAGCTGGGACTCTCGGGAACCAACTGTCACCTCTGAACAAGAAGACTGTGTTCTGATCAGAGGGGAGGTAAGGTGCACAGTGTGGGAGTGATTATTGATGATTATGACACACCAGTGTTTTTCTGTAAAACTATGCAATTCTGTTAAAGAACACTCTCTCTAAACCTATGCAGCTATGTATCACACCTTACTTTACAATATACAGTATACACATATTGGCCAAAGTAAATTTCAAAACCTTTGCCACATGTTTAGTCTGGGACCTGTCTTTAAATCTCTTCTATGCACATATGTATATAAGCACATATTTCCACTATATTCTAACAGTGTGAGAAATGTATTGTTTCAACATCATAAACATAAAAAAGGAAACGTTCTGCAGGAACTTCTTGTAGGATTGTTAGGAAGGCAATTTAAATCAGTTTCACAGCAAAAAGATGATTTAGCACTCTCTGGAAGCTGCCCTGCTACTGCTCAGCCTGCTAGTAGATGAACCTATGGTATGAATTTGAAAGTCCTATGTTACTTCCTCTTTGAGTTATCGCATTCACATGATTTTTCTGTAAAACTATGCAGTTCTGTTAAAGAACACTGGATGCCAGGAAGGTCCATTAATATCCAGAAAATTAGGTCTTTGTTTTATGATATGCACCGTAGCCTGTCTATCTCTTGTTAATTTCAGTTTCCACATATATTTTGTTCTTTTCATTCTTGCAGAATGGAAACTGGGCTGACCGTGTGTGTGACGAGAAACATGGCTTTATCTGCATGAAGACAAGTGACTCTGAACCCTCTGGAGATGAAGTGGAGCTGAACGCAGGCTGCAAAACTGTATGTGAACCTTTCATATATTTTCCAAAGAATGTCTGCATCTGGTTGGTCGAATGCACACATTCTGTTATCTGTTTCTGTTTTGTAAAGGCTGTTGTATATTTCAAATGGCACAATGTCTAAAGCTACTTTTGTGCCTGTGGTCCAAGAAATAGCTGGGAAACCAGCATACACGTGGGATATGATACCTAATCAAATAATTGTATTTGGATGTTGTTTCTAGGAAAAACAATTAAGGAAAAAAAAGCAGGCAGATTCTCTTGATTAAATTAGCACGTGGAGTGAGTGGAGTAAGCTATCTCAGGATAATACAAAGTATTATCAAACTTTAAATTGTACATTTAAAATTTTACACTAGTCTTAAAGTGTATATTTATTTTTTACTCTTCTTATATTTATTTTTGTGTTTTGCACTGAATGTAACTGGAGTCGTCTCGTCTCGCTATATACTTTTCTGTATATAGCAGAGATGAAAATAAAGTTTACTTTGACTTTGAAGTAGTCACACTGATGCAGAGTGATTCTGCATGTGGGGTCTTTCTTCTTGCTATCACAAAAAGATATGTACACAAAGACAACATTTAACGACAGGCTTGAATAGTTCTCCAACTGTTGTTTCTCTGCAATGCAGGGTTGGAAAAGACATGGATCCTACTGCTACTTTGTAGGGATTGAGACAAAGACGTTTCATGAAGCCAACGATGACTGCAAGAGCTCAAACTCTTACTTAGCTGATGTTTCAACTGGGTAAAATAGTTTTCATAAAAAAAAAAAAGTTATGATTCCTAAAATTTTTACCATAAAAAAGGGTAATATACAGTGGTGTAAAAAGTGTTTTCCCCCTTCTGATTTCTCTTGTTAAATCATGAATTAACTGTGATTAACCACATTTTTTGTAAAGTTGAGTTCTATTTCACTAGCCACAGCCAGGCCTGATTACTGCCAGTCCTGCTGAATCAAGAAATCACTTAAAGAGAACCTGTCTGACAAAGTGAAGCAGGCTAAAAATCTCAAAAAGCACCATCCCAATCTAAAGAAACACCTGAGAAATAAGTTCACTAACATCTGTCAGTCTGGTAAAGGAAAAGGTTTCAAAGCCATTTCTAATCTAATCCATTTCTGATCTAAAACACACCAAAAGTCCACCTTTTAATGGTTTAAGAAAAACAAATTAAAACTGTTGAGTCATGACCTAAATCCAATTCAGATGCTGTGGGATGGTTAAAAAGATGGTTCATGCTTGAAAACCCTCCAATGTGGCTGAATTACACCAATTCTGCAAAGGCAAGTGGGTGAGAATTTCTCTACAGAGCTGTGAAACACTCATTGCCAGTTATCGCAAAAGCTTGATTGCAGTTGTGTCACGGTCCTGGGTCGGTGACCCAGTGTTTTTGGTTTTGTACTTTTACTTTTGAATTTACGAAGTATGACTGTTTGTTTTGGTTTCTGTCCTAGTATTTCAGGTTTCTAGTTTTGGTAGTACTTCCTGAGTTCTTGTTTGGTTTTGTTATTTGGTTTCCCAGTGTTTATCCTCTTCTCTGTGTTCCTTCTGTCTGTCCATGGTGTTATTCTGTCTGCTCATGAGTCTGCGTCTGGTAACTTCTGTCTCGTCTGGCTCGCTCTGTCTGTCGTGTACTTCCTGTTTTACTTTGTAGGTCTGTGCCTTATGTCTGTGGGTTCAGCTTTGTGCTCTCCCTGTCTCGTCAGTGTAATCAGCATCAGCTGTGTCTCCCAGCTGTTTCCTCTTAGCGCTGTTCACCTCTTGTATTTAGTGTCTGCGTCTTCCCTGCTAGTTGTCGTGTTCTACCCTCACTTTCACTCTGTGTTCTGTTTGCCAGCCTGCCCACCTGTTTAGTTTGTTCAGTATTCACAGTTTAGTTAGTTTTTTGTTCAGTTTCTTCCCAGCAATAAAGCTGAGTATTTTGAGTTACTTCTGTCTCTGTGAGTGCTGCATTTTGGGTCCTCTCTTCCTGCCTGCCTGCACAAAGCCATGACAAGTTGTTTCTGCTAAGCGTGGCCCAACTACTTAATAGGGGCAATCACTTTTTCACACAGTAGGTTTGGATTTTTCTCCTTAATAATAAACACCTTCATTTTAAACTGTATTTTATGTTCACTTGTGTTGTCTTTGCAAAATATTAAAATTTGTTTGATGATTTGCAACATTTAAGTGTGGGAAAAATATTAAGCAAATCATCAAGGGGATAATCACTTTTTCACACCAATGTATCAAGTTGCAGGCAGTCTATAATCTAACTTGTGTAAATATTTCCAGGGTGGATAATACTTTCCTTGTAAGCTTGGTGGGGCTGAGGCCAGAGAAACACTTCTGGATAGGTCTCTCAAACCTGAAAAACAGAGAATATTTTATGTGGACCAACAATGCCTACGCGAGATATACTCACTGGAACACTCATATGCCAGGTAATGAAACAATCTCATGATCTATATGTAAACTATAGTTGGCAGGTGTCTTCACAAATGACAGCTAACATTTTCTTTTATAACACAAGGTCACGTGCAGGGTTGTGTTGCTATGGCAACTGGGCATTCTGCTGGCCTTTGGGATGTGTTGTCTTGTACCAATAAGGAAAAATACATCTGTAAACACCTGGCAGAGGGGGCAGCTTTAACCCCTGCTCCACCAACCACTGCCACACCTAACTGCACAGATGGATGGATTAAGATGCAATCCAGAGGCATCTGTTATAAGGTGCAGCATGTCTCTCTCTCTCTCTCTCCCTATGTGTGTGTATATAATTCTATTGAACTTATTCATAATAGGGATGACATAAAAACAGAGATGGCTGCCCAAGTTTAGTATATAGTTTTAAATGTACAAATATTACCAAAGCTTCAGATCACAATTCAGTTTCTTATATTTTGTTTAAGATCTTTCCAGAGGCTTCAGAAAAGAGAAAGACCTGGTACGAGGCTAGAGATTACTGCAGAGCCATTGGAGGAGACCTAGTCAGCATTCACAGCGGTGCTGATTTACTACGGACATACAATAACATCTACAATCATTGGTATAGTGTTTTCTGGTCTACAGTTAGAGCTACATAAGATGAAAATGTTTTGTATAGATTTTTATCATTACAAAAGATTAAAAATACAGTATTTTTTATATATACAATGTAATTAATTACTGATGTAGAAGCCACCCCCATTTTATCCTCAATGATTGTTCAATGATGGTCATATTTTTGCAGACTAGTGCACCATTCCTCCAGAGAGTGCTAAATCAAGTATTAAACTTTGGAACATACATTTGTCCATTATAGGCCTAATCAATACTGGATTGGACTTAGTGCTCCTGACCCAGACACAGGTTATGTATGGAGTGATAGATCCCCGGTGAGTTTACAGTTTTTAACTCTCTACAATGGTTTATGTAGCCTAAATGATGATAACGATCAAGATGATGATTATTAATATTACTGATGTTACAGCTGCTATTACTACTGCTACTATTCATAATTATCTTATTTTTGTATAAAGGTAAACTTCCAAGACTGGAAAGATGGAGAACCAAACAATAAAAATAACGCTGAATTGTGTGTTGAAGTAGAACGCGTGTATTGGGATAACATTTTGCTTTGGAGTGATGTGCCCTGTGAGAAGTACAATAACTGGATTTGTCAGATCCACGCAGGTAAAGCATGGTCACAGTTCTAAAATTCCTTTGCAACATATTTTTGAACTAGACATTTATTGTTGTCGGCCTCATGTATTCTCACAATGTCAAGCTGGAGGTGGTCACTAGTAATTCAACACTATTTTGTTTTTATACCTTTACAGGAGTCACCCCAAAGCCGGCTCCAGACCCTGTCACCCCTGGTATGTTGAGGAATTTGACCACATTGGCGGTCAGCATCTTTACATGACTTTTGACTTTCTATTATGATTACCAGGCCATGAGGCATACTATGCTGACACGAAACTAATGGATGCTGATTTACTGCATGGCGAATATCTGTGACCAAACAGTAATATTAATTTTGTTTTTCTTGTAGAATGCCATGTAGAATTATATATGATAACTCATATAATACATTTTTTATGTAACCCAACAACAAATCCAGAATATAAATAGGAACCTAAAGTTGCTCTTGTGAAGTCTCGTAAGATAATGAGATATTGGTTAAAAAAACAAAAAAACAAAACATCTGTTTACCTGATTGATACAGTATGAGTATAAAACTTACAGTGAAGAAAGTGAACTATGTAGTGTGAGCATAAGATCAAAAACATGCAGATTTTTTTACTTAAAAAATTGTTCACTTTAAAATCTGCTCATCAGCTATATTTACAGTGGGTTTTTTTTCCTAACATAGTACTAGTTTCCTAAATTAAACCAGAGAACCACACACATGCACATTTCTTATCTATTCTCAGAGTATAACACGACCTCTGATGGGTGGCTAGAATGGAATGGGGCTCAGTAACATTAACAAAAAGGCGATGGCCATGGAGGACGCTCGTATGTTCTGCAGACAGAGGCATGGTGACCTGGTATCTATCAACAGTGAAGCAGAAAGGATATTTTTATGGAAACAGGTGAGCAATGGCATTTGTAAATTTACCAAGGCAATGGGTAAGGTGTAACTGAACAAACTGAAACTTCCACACAGACAGTTTTACTATGCATCCATGCTTTTGTGCAGATTTCAACAGGTTATCAGAATTCTTGGATTGGCCTATCTGTAGATCTTGATGGAACATTTCAGTGAGTATGAATTGATTTATAAAATTTAAATGCAACAAAATAAACTTAAATTTATGTGACACCATGTTAAAAATAGAGAGTACTTAGTGCAAGGCAGCATGCCAGATGTACGAGTATACCAGTTTTAATTTCATTTAATCATATCTTGATTGTTTGATATAAAATCTGATGGCTAGTATACAGAGACAAAATTACCTATTAACTACCTAAATACATATTAACTGTAAATTGTGGTTAATTTACATTTCTGTTTGTGATCTTTAACTTTTAATTAATATTTGTAAAATGAATCAGTTACTATTCCAGTTTGCTATCTTTCTTACTAACTTAATTCAGGTACTATAACTAAAACCAAAAAACTGTGACTAAAAGGAAGAAGGCAAAGTTTACTTTAACCAGTATGTGACTGTGTTGGTAATATAAGTTTTTACAGACATATTTAAACCATGTGTCTTTTTACATTAAGGTGGATGGATGGTTCTCAAGTGGTGTTTCAAAGGTGGGATGAAAATCAACCTGAATTCAAGAACTTTGATGAAAACTGTGCTGTCATGACACATCATAATGGTGAGTGTACCGAAATAATAACAAGAAGAGCCCATAGAGAGTTTTTAGAGCACCTCTACAACCATGTATTCTGATCATGATTCTGCTTATTACATAAACTACAAGAACTGATAGCTGGCTTGTGTGATATCAAAACTGATTAAAGATAGAGTTGATTTGATTTTTTTAAAATCTATCATTCGAGTTGATTATATGATTAATTTACTATACTCAAATGGCTAGCAGGATTCTGGCATGACTCAACATCCTT